TTGGGCTCTCCGCTTGATTGTTTTACGAGAACAACGCGCGCGCACACTTCGTGCCATTAGTTCTAGGCAGGGGAAAGCCAGCATCACATCAATAAGCGAATGGGTACGCACGCCATCCCACCACGATCACCAACCGGGAGCACTTGCTGCGACATGGGCGTACATATCTGAACAGCGGCTCCCCGCCTATTTCGGCACATCCTTCACACGGACCATGCCCTCAGGGAGCTCCACCTACGGCCCCTCACACATCTTGGCACACCCCTAACAGGGATTGTGACCCGCAAGGAGCTCCACCTACGGCCCCATTGCATAGCGGCACACCTCGAACCACTCACGCCAGCACACCTCTCACAACGATCGTGCCCTGCAGGGAGTCCCCACTACTACGGCCCCGAAAGACAAGGTTCGCATCCCGCCCCCCACCTCAGCCGACGGCCCCAGAGACCAGATTTGCATAGCGCCCCGCCCCCCCGCCAATTGCGACACACCCCTCAAGCGGAACGTACCCCACGGGGAGCACCACCCACAGTCCCAAGACAAGGTTTACAAATCGTCCCTCCGCCCGTGTCGGTGCACTGTTCACGCGCATCGTGCCCTGGAAGGAGCTCCACCTATGGCACCAATGGGCAATTTCGCATGGCGTCCCCCCGCATATTTGGTGCATGCCTCACACGGGTCGTGCCCCACAAGAAGATCCACCTGCGGCCTCAGTGGGCGTTCGCGCGAGGGCACCTAGATTAGTCGGCACCCCCGTCACGCGGATCGTGCCTCAGATGGAGTTCAGCGCACCTGTGCACGCTTGTTCCGCAGCAGCCCACTATCAGCTCAGTCCCGCGGCGTGCAAACCCACCAGCCCTCTGGGCGTGAGTGGTTTAGGGAGTTTCGTCTTCCATATTCCCTCTTCCCCTTCGGGGAGGAGTTTACTCCTCCCACTACCCTCTCCCCGTGGGTTTGGACGGAGCCTTTTGCCAGGTGTCAGAGGATTTGTTTTTACCTTGGCGTGGAAACTAAAATCAATGATTCTGCTATGGCCACACTTTGGCCTCCTGGGGGGGAGGGGGAGCACAAATTAAGGAGCTTCTCTTCTTTGATCGATCTCCTCCTCGATGACCCCGAAATGCCCCCCGAGGCTCCCAAGAGTGCCTCCAAGGGGGCCAAAGATGCGCCCAGGAGGCGCCAAGAGGCCCCCAAGATGCCTCCAAGATGCCCCCAAGATGCTCCCAAGAGCTCCCCAAGAGGCGCCGAGAGGCTCCCCCGAGGGATCCAAGACGCTGCTTCAAGAGGCCACCGGGACCGCCAAAAGACCCCCAAGACGCCCCAATAGGCCTATCAGAAGCTCTCGAGAGACCTCAGCAGAGACTCCGAGATGCATCGAAGAGGTCACTGGCCTTTCTGTTCGCCCTCCTCCTCCTCCTTCTCCTCCTCCTCCACCTCCTCCTCATCATCATCCGCGTAGTCCTCCTCATCCCTCCTCCCTTCTCCCTTCTCCCTCCTCACCCTCGCCATCCTCCTCCTCCTCCTCCGATTCCTCCTCCCTCCTCCTTCTCCTCCGCCTCCTCCTCCTTCTCCTCCTCTTCCTCCTCCTCCTCCTCCTCCTCCTCCTCCTCCTTATCCTCCTCCTCTTCTTCTTCCTACTCCTCCTCCTCCTCCTGCTCCACCGATTCCTCCTCCATCCTCCCCCTCTTGGGGTACGACACCTTACCCAGCCCTTTATTCCACTGCATGCTGCTCCACATCCCTGAGCAGGGCAACTTGTCTGGGCATCGCTTCTGGATGGATTGTTGGAGTTACCCGAAGCGTCTACAATATATGAAGAGAGGGCCGCGCCCTGCGCTGCACGTGACTGCATAATTAGCGATGGGTCCGTCGCCAAGCCAATTGTTCGCTTACGAAGACGCCTACGGCGAATCACCGCCGCCCCCTGCCTTTTTGGAAACGCCGATGTGGCCGAAAGTTGGACTAGAGCTTGGCCAAGCTATCGGACCATGAGTTCCCCGAGTCGGTTTGGAAAGCTTTCGGGGAACACATGGGAGAGAATGATTATGAACAGGAAGAGGAAGAGGAAGAAATAGAGTAGGAGGATGAGGGTTGTTAGGAGTCTCTTGGGGCACCCTTGGGGTCTGTTGGGAGCTTCTTGGGGGCCTCTTCGAGGCCTCTTGGAGGCATCTTGGGGGCCTCCTTGGGCCTCTTGGGGGCCTTTGGGGGCTTCCTGGGGGTCTCTTTGGCCGTCTTAGGGCGTTCCTGGTCCGTCTGACGCCGTCTGGAGCCGTCTTGGGGGCCTCTCTGGGCCGTCTTGGGGCCCTCTTGGGGCGCTTCAGGGCCGTCTTGGAGGCCATGTTGGGCGTCTTGGAGGCCTCTTGGGCCGTCTTGGGGCGCTCTTGGGGCCGTCTTGGGGGGCCCTTGGGCCGTCATAGGGCCTTCTTGGAGGCCTCTTGGGCGATCTTGGGGGCCTCTTGGGCCGTCGGAAGGCCGAAAAGAAGAAAACGCAAAAAACCTTCAAAAACCTAAGGAAAACCAATGATTTTGGCCTCTTCGGGCTCTCCTGGAGAACGTCTTGGAGGCCTCTTGGGCCATCTTGGAGGCATCTTGGGGCCATCTTGGCCGTCTTGGAGGGCATCTTGGGCCGTCTTGGAGGCATCTTGGAGCCATCTTACCCGTCTTGGAGGCCATCTTGGCCGTCTTGGAGGCATCTTGGAGGCCATCTTGGGCCATCTTGGCCGTCTTGGAGGCCATCTTGGGCCAAGTTGGGGCAACAAAGGCATTGACAGATGGATTTTCGGAAACTTACGGGTGGCCGGCGGGACGGGCCGAAGCCCACTGGGGAGTTCTTTTAGAAAAAGAACCAAAACCAAAACCTGAAACGTCCAGCACGCCGTGCACCCCTGTGGCAAGACCACAGGGGGCGGCGGATCTATCGCCTTCGGCCCATAACACCACCGTGCCTGAGTTGTGGGCCAGAGGCCTCTTGGACACCTGTAACAAGGGGTCTCCTGGCATGCTTCTCGGGCGCCTTGTGGAGCGAGTTCTGAAGTTCCTCGGGCCTCCTGGAGGCAGTTTTTGGGGCGTCTTGGGGCCTCTTCTGGGGGCTGCTGGCGGCCTCGGGGTCCACTTAGGGGCGGAGGGGGGGTCCTCCTATTGGGCCTCTCTGTGGGCCCTCGTGGGCCATCTTGGACACCTCTTGGACCGTCTTGGAGCTCCCTAGGACCGTCTTGGGGCCCTCCTGGAAGCGTCTGGGGCCGTCTTGGGGCGATCTTTGGGGCCTCTGGGCCGTCTTGGACGCCGTGGGAATCAGAAACATAAACGAAGATGCTAGAATTTTGCGTCTTCCTTTGAATGCAACCATGTGGGCCGTCTGTGGGGCGCTCTTGGGGAACATGCTCAAGCCTTCTCGGGGTCTCTTGGGGAGCTTCTCAGGCCGTATGGTGGCCATCTCGGGGCGTCTTGGGCCCTACTGCGCCGCTCTCGTCGCTGATCCGTGCTCCCGGGAAGGTGGCTTGAGCGGCCAGGGCGGCCAGGGTTGAGGCCCGGGAGGCCCCCGAAGGCGGGTGGTGCTCAAAAGGGGGGGATTCCGGGAGGGTGTCCCGGCCTGGGGCCCAGGGCCCCGGTTCGCTGGCACATGGTAAGAAGACTCCGGGAAGCCACATGGGCCTGCATGCGTAGGGCGGGCGTGTGGGACCGCTGGGCGTGCGTAAGAGAGGCACTTTGGCATCCTCTGTATTCGTGCCAGCATGCCTCAACGATTTTAGGGTGGTCGTTTTGGGGCACGGTCGTTTTAGGGCATGCCTCAAAGAATGTGTAATGGTAGCGCCTGTAAAGGATCACACGGGACCAAGAAACGGTGACCTCGCCCGAGGTGAGAGCTGCCTCCCGAGGGGGCGCACTCACCCCGCAGCGCGGCGCGGCCCGGTATCGGCACCCTTTCCTTCTGTGAGGCTCGGTGCCCTCACCCCGCACGGAAGCCCCCGGGCGAGGGCCCTCCTCCGAGGGCTCCCTCCTCCCGTGCTGGCGGCCTGCACCCCCGAGGCCAGGACGCCAGAGCTGAGCACACCGACGCTGGCGCCCTAGGCGGGCCAGCCCCGGGAGCTGGCCCGGCCAGGGTCGGCGTTGGAGTGCGCATGGCGTCCCCAGAGAGACTGAACAGGGCGCGGGGCGCGACGCGGCGCCGGAGCGCCGAGTGCAGAGGGCAGCGGCGGCCTGGTGCGGCCGTCCGTGGACCTCAAGGCCGAGCGTGCTCCCACGGGGGGGGCGCCCCAGGCGCGCCGCGGCTTCGCCGACGAGCGCCGCAGGGCGCCCCGGATGGAGTGGTCCCCCTCCCCCCTCCCGTGTCGTCCGTCACCCACACCACACCTCCCCGGTGATACAGCCGAGGCAATCCTGGGCAATCTCTGCCCACCTCCTCCTACACCTCCACCTCCACCTCCTCCTCTTTCTCCTCCTCCTCCACCACCTGCACCTCCGCCTCCGCCTCCACTTCCTCCTCCTCGTCTTCTTCGTATGATGATGCCTTCTCTTATTAGTATTACGATTAGTACTATTAGTATTATTCTTATTATTATGGTTAATTTTTAAAAGAATAAGTATCCGTATTAGTCTGCTTAGTCGCAATATTAGTCGTATGATTATGATTACGTATCTTCTTCCTAGTGTTCTTCGTATTAGTATGATCATGATTGCTATGTTCAGTGTTAGTACTAGTAGCACTATGATTCTTATTCGTCAAATTTGCATGAATATTCGCATTCGTACTAATATTCTTATTCTTATTAGTAGACGTAGCATTGTTATTATTATTGATCCTCCTCCTCCTCGTCCTCCTCCTCCTCCTCCTTCTCCTCCTCCTCCTCCTCTTCCTCGAAGCTCGAAGCGGGAGGCCTTTGATCCTCCGCAAAGGTCCTCCTTCTCCTCCCCCTCCTCGTCCTCCTTCTCCCCCCCCTCCTCCTCCTCCTCCTCCTCCTCCTCCTCCTCCTCCTCCTCCTCCTCCTCCTCCACCTCCTCCTCCTCCGACCAAAGGATGGGGCAGAGAGAACAGAGAAGCGCTGCGGCGCGGCCCAACCTGTCAAGCCCTCCCCGGATACGGCTCCCCCACATTTCACGCTCAGTCGTCGTAGTGGTCGGGCATGGCTCTCATGAGCATGGCCTGCACGAGCACGCAGGAGCAACGCATGTTCAGAAAAGAAGAGCGCGAGAGAGAGGGGACTGAGAGTCAGATAAGCAGAGAGACAGAGAGAGTGAGAGAGAGAGAGAGAAAAAAAAACAAAAACAAAAAAAAAAAAAAAAAAAAAAAAAAAAAAAAAAAAAAAAAAAAAAAAAAAAAAAAAAAAAAAAAAAAAAAAAAAAAAAAAAAATGTATACATATATATATATATGTATATATAACAGGTGATAGAGGATACAGCATGGTGGACGAGAGGACAAATTACAGAGGACAATGGATGGAGGAAAGAAGACAAAGCACCAGAATACAAAGGACAAAAACAGGCGGTTGTAGATCTGATCGACACTTTGTATGGGGGCTGCTGTCAACCCGGAACTCCCTGAACTCTCGCGGAACTCCCGCGCTCCCCGGAACTCCCGCGCTGCATCCCGGGGCTTCCAAGGTGCCAGCACCATCTGCGAGGCTCCCGAGACCCAATGACGAGCCCTCTCAACAAATCAACATCGATCCCTTCGAGCCAGAAGAATCTGACATGGTGGGTCCCCCCATTCCGCCCCCCTTCCCCACGCTCCATTAACGCCATGACCAGGGCGGAGGGAAATCTCTTACAAGTGCCAGTGACACTGGAACTGAAACTGCCGACTCACAGAATTCGCGCGTAGGAAGCTCGATAAGCAGGCAAATACACAACGAGAACAGACAGAGATGGAAAGTGCTGGACCATGTATTGCCAGAGGTGAACCTTTGTCGAGAGAGAAGCGGCAAGTATGAGGGGCCTGGCATCTAGGAGAACGCACCGGATTACAACACGAGGTTATGGAACGATCGAGGGTAGAAAAGGACTGCATTGAACATGGCCGCGATAAGAAAAGATAACAAACGGTAAGAGAAGAATCTGCACAAGGCGCACACGGCAGGATGCGAGGTGGACACAACAAGAGAGAGCGCGAGATCAAGAGCCGAGACGACCAGAATGTGCCTGGCTGGCTGACGTGTCTTGCTCCCGTCCCCCAAGGCGGTTTTGACCAAACTACCCATAGCTCTCGTGCCACATATGCTGGGAGCCGCTCGCGGGGGCAACCTGGGCACAAACCCACCCTCTGGAGGGTGGAATCCTCCGAAGCCCCTCCAACTCAGCAGAAGGCACCCATATATATGGGGGGGGCAACGTTGGGCAAGACTGGATCGGGGAGGGGAGACATCAATTTAGAATCTGCGACACGTCGCCGAGTAGTCGGCGATAGGCCCGCGACAAAAACTGCGAACGTTCCTGTGCGCTGTAGGCGATCAGGTCCTTCATCGGCGACCAGAAGGAGAAGGAAGAGGAGGAGGAGGAGGAGGAGGAAGAGAAGGAGGAGGAGGGGAGGAGGAGGAGGAGGAGGAGGAGGAGGAGGAGGAGGAGGAGAGAGGAGGAGGAGGAGGAGGACGAGGAGGAGGAAGAGGAGGAGGAGGAGGAGGAGGAGGACGAGGAGGGACCCCAGTGACTTGTGGGCCGGAACTCGGGCCTCCCACGGCTGGCCGCTTTTGTCGGAAAGAGCAGGGCCATGCGCCCCCCTCTGAGCCGATCCCCGTCCTCCTCCTCCGCCTCCTCCTCCTCCTCCTCCTCCTCCTCCTCCTCTCCTCCTCCTCCTCCTCCTCCTCCTCCTCCTCCTCCTCCTCCTCCTCTCCTCCCTCCTCCTCCTCCTCCTCCTCCTCCTCCTCCTCCTCCTCCGCTTCCTCCTCCTCCTCCTTCCCCTTCTCATCCTCATTACCCTCCTTCGCGTCCCCCTCTGAGCCCATCCCCGTCCCAGGAGGCCCCGGGTCGGAACTCAAGGCCTCCGCCGGCCGTGCGGGCCGATCTGGGCCACCCCGGGGAACGCTCTCGGCGAGGCGCAGCTGCTCAAGAGCACCACGCGGCTGGAAAATCGCCGAGAACCGACGAAAACACACGCACACACACACACGCACACACACACGCACACACACACACACACACACACACACACACGCACACACACAAAGAAAAAGGAAACAACAACAAAAAACCTGGCGATGACCCCAACCACATGCAGGCCTGAGTGTCGCAAGGCGACCAGGGCGACGGAAGGATAGCTCCATTTTGAGGGCACGAAGTGTGTGAGCGGTGTGGCAGACTGGGGCCTTCGGTGGAGCTCTCTGTGGGGCCACGCGACGTGTGAGTTGGGCGTGGCTTAATAGGGGGGTCATAATTGGGGGGGTCAGAAACGGTCCTCTTTCGTGCTCCTTTCGGGCCCCTCTGGAACCCCAGGGGGCTCGTTTGGGTACCGTTTGGGTACCATTTCGGGCCACCCTCGCCACCCCCCCATTTATGACCCCCTTTACGCACCGCCCAAGTGAGGGTGTACCGAATCGGTCCGGGTACGCCATGCGGACGCTGCCGATGAGTCCGTCGGTGGAGCTCCCTGTGCGGCCGCGCAACGCGTGATGGGTCTGCCGAATCGGGCGCGGGCACGCCATGCGGACGCTGCCGTTGGGGCCTTCGGTGGAGCTGCCTGTGCGGCCACGACACGCGTGAGGGGTCTGTCGGATCGGGCGCGGGCACGCCATGCGGACACTGCCGTTGGGGCCTTCGGTGGAGCACGCCATGCGGACACTGCCGCAGGAGCCTTCGGTGGACTTCCTTATCATAGGGCAACGAATCGCGAGAAGGGCGTGCCGAATCGGATGCGTGCACGCCATGCGACGACTGCCGCTGAGGCTTTCGGTGGAGCTCCCTGTGGGGCCAACGCAACGCGCGAAGGGTGTGCCGAACCTGGTGCGGGTATGCCATGCGGGCGCTGCCGCTGGGGCCTCGGGCGGAGAGCTCCTTACAGGGGGTCACGAGACGCGTGGGGGGTGCGCCGCTGTGATCCGACATGCGGAGGGCAAAGGCAGGACGCGGGGAGGAGGGGGAGGAGGGAAGGAGGAGGAGGAGGAGGAGGAGGAGGAGGAGGAGGAGGAGGAGGAGGAGGAGAGGAGGAGAGGAGGAGGAGGGGGAGGAGGAGGAGGAGGAGAAGGAGGAGGAGGAGGAGGAGGAGGAGGAGGAGGAGGATAGAGGTGCAATCTGGCCACTTCGGGGGGAGCCTGGCCGCGCGGGGCGATATCTCTTCAAAACGAGACCCAACACCACAGGATGACTGAGGAAGCAGACGTCGTCCGAAACGAATCGTCCCCCCCGTCGTCGGCTTCCTGAACCTGCGCGCCCTGAACCCATGCCCCCGAGCGTTGCCCTACCCGTACCGCCATGCCTGGCCAGGGCTTCCCCAGGTCACCTAGTTTCGCGCATCGCGCCCCGCGATGCGCGAGGCGCGATCATCTTCGCGCCCTCCCGCCCTCGCGCTGCCCGCCGTGAAGACGCTCTGGCCCAGACCGCGACACGGGAAGCGCGAGGCGCGATTATCTTCGCGCCCCTGGGGGTAACCTAGCTTCGGCCAAACGCAAGAATGGCCGTAGGCAAGAATGACCTTTGGTGCGCGGCTTAACGGGGGACGCGGGGTGGCCAAACCTGGGCGCGCAAGCCGCTGCTACCGCTTCGAGCTCAGCGACCAGGGGACCCCATTGGGCCCGCACCAAGGGTCAGTCCGGCGAAAGGTCACTCTTACGTCTAGTCGACTAGCTTCTGTCAAGCGGTCTAAACTCTCGAAGACCTCGATCAACTCAGTGATGGGTCCAAATGCATTGCAAGTCTCTGGCCGACTCTCTCCCTCGCGCTCGTGCTACGTGCGAGGGGCGGTGATGGTAACCTTTTAGGTCAATCGACAAGCCTCTCGAGCTCAAATGGCAATGGCAATGCTTCATGTCTGTTCATGTGCACCATGCTACTGCTGCCCGCTACATTGGGGAGGGGCATAGTAGAACACGTTTGTCAGAACAGCCAGAACAGCCTCTGAAACATCTCCGAACACACACACACACACACACACACACACACATTGCATGGAGTGCAATTCACAGTTTCCTAACCTCCAAGACCGACAACAGCTAGGGCTCCCAACTTCGCGCTTCGCGCTGCGCGAAGCGCGAAGCGCGAATAACTTCGCGCTCTCGCGCCGCCCTCCCAAAGGGAGAATAGGAGGACGAGGAGGAGGGGGAGAAGGAACGAGGACCGCGAAGCGCGAAGCGCGAATAACTTCGCGCCTTCGAGGGAGCCCTTGCAACAGGCTGGGCACGGAGCCGAGCGGGGCCGGCCCGTGACGGTTGCGGGGCACGGCCTCGAGCTGCTGTGGCGAGTCCTCGGTCAGATCCACGTAAGGCGACTGGCGCCCCGCCCCGTCACGCGGCGGTCCGCTGCGCCAGGGCGCTGCCAGAGAGGCGTCAGAGAGGCGAAGCAGTTGTCCAGGCCTCCTCCTCCTCCTCCTCCTCCTCCTCCTCCTCCTCCTCCTCCTCCTCCTCCTCCTCCTTTTCCTCGTCATATTCGCCCTCCGTTTCCTCGTCCTTGTCATCTCCCATCCTCCCCCTTCTCCTCCTCATCATCCTCCTTGTCCTCGTCCCTATGTTCCTCGTCCTTGTTGTCCTCCTCCTCCTCTTCATTCTTCCCCTCCTTTTCCTCTTCAACCTCCTCTTCCTCCTCCTCCTCCTCCTCCTCCTCCTCCTCCTCCTCCTCCTCCTCCTCCTCCTCCTCCTCCTCCTCCTCCTCCTCCCTCCCTCCTCCTCCTCCTCCTGCTCCTCCCATTCCCCGTCTTCCTTTCCTCCTATTCCTCCTCCTCCTCCTCCTCCTCCTCCTCCTCCTCCTCCTCCTCCTCCTCCTCCTCCTTTTCCTCCCCATCCTTTTCTTCTTCTTGCTACTATTAGTCTTATTGTGATGTTCAGTATTATTTCCATTCTTCTTATTCCTAATAGTATTCTCAGTATGATTCGTATAGCATTATCATTATTATTGTTGTGATCATTGTTATTGTTAGCATTATTACTATTATCATTATTAATATTAGTATGACTATTCTTATTATTAGTAGTAGTAGTATCATTATTAGTATTGTCATTACCATCATTATTAGTATTAATAGTATTAGTATTAGTATCATGAGTAATAGTATTAGTCGTATTATTAGTATTATCATTATTGATAGTATTAGTATTATTGTTACTATTAGTAGTATTATTACTATTACTACTAATACTACTACTACTACTACTACTACTACTACTACTACTACTACTACTACTACTACTACTAGTATTACTATCAATACTAACAGTAATATCATTAGTTTCATCATCATTATTATTATTAATAATATGTTTATAATTAATTTTAGTAGTCGTATTATGATTAGCAGTCTCACCATAACTATTATTATCAGTATTCTTATTAGTAGTAGTATGATTGGTATTAGAATTCATATTAACAGTAGTATTATTAGTACCAATATTATTAATATTATTGTTGTTATTATCATTAGTATGTAATATGAATGATATTATGATTAGTAGTATTATTAGTCCTCTTATTCTGTTTCGTATTATTATTCTTCATAGTTTGCGCAATAGTGTTCTTCATATGTTTCTGACTATTATCATTACTCTTATATGTAGTACTATGCATAAAATTGTCATTCCTCTTCCCAATATTAATATTTCTAGTACTCGCATGATTATTATTACTATTAGGAATGGTATTATTATCCTGTGCATTGCTATTACTATTCTGTTTATTGCTATTACTAGTATTAATATTCTTATCATTCGTAGTAGCAGTTGTCTTATAGTGTGATGATTAGTCCTACTAATACTATTGTTATTCTTAGCATTCAAATTGGCATTATTATTGATATTATTCTTCGTATTCTTCGTATCATTAAAATTGTGTTGCTTAATATGAATATGATTATTCTTCTTCGTATCATTATTAATACTCTTCTTAATAGCCATAGTATTATTCTTCGCTATAATATTGTTATGTGTATTCTTATGTTTCTTCTAAGTTTTCTTAACGTTCTTCTTATCCATCTTATTTAGTATCACTAGTATTATTAAGTGTTCTTCTTTGTTATTACTACGAATATTATTCTCATTATTATTCATAATACGAGCCCTCTCATTATTATTCCTCTTCTTCCCCTCCTCCTCCTCCTCCTCCTCCCCCTTTTCCTCCTCCTCCTCCTCCCCCCCGTCCTCCTCCTCCTCGCCCTCCTCCTCCTCCTCCTCCTCCTCCTCCTCCTCCTCCTCCTCCTCCTCCTCCTCCTCCTCCTTCTCCTCACCCCCCTCATCACCACCATCATCATCCTCCTCGCAACCGTCCTCATTATCGCTCTCATCTGGCCTGTTATCCGCCTTCACTTCCGCTGCCTCGTGGCCCGGGCAAATCGATTTTCGTCGACGCCGTCGCCGCCGCGGCCGACGCGGGCGCGCTCCCCGACGGCCAGCCGGGTCGCGAAGCCGCCGGGGCAACACTTCGAGCCAGCGCGTCGGGACAACCCCGAGAGCCGCTGGGGCGCCAGAGCACGCCGCTGGGGCAATCCCGCAGGCACCGAGCTAGTCGCGGCCGCCCTCGGGCGGGAGGCAGCACGAAGTCCAGCTCTGCCGCGAGCTGCTCCGCCGCAGCCCTGGAGCCCACCGCTCTCCTGTCGAATTCCTCGGGCGCTTTCCGCGGGGGCGCCGGCGGCCCGCGCCCCGGGAACTCTCGCGCGGGCGGACGCAAGATCAGCACGTTCCTCACTCACGTAGCGCGGGAGAACATGACGTAGAGGTGCAGCCACCACTGCTCGTCCGACATGCCCGTGCGACCAACGTCCTCATCCCTGGCGCAGTCGACGGCGACGCCCTTGCGCAGCGTCTGACCCTGCGACAGCGTGGAGGTCAGGTAGGACGCGCGCGCCAAGGTGAACCCCGAGCGGCGCGCGACCCGCGGCCCCGAGCTCTGCCACGTGAGCTACTGCCTGCTGGGCCTGAACATGAGCAACCTCCTCGCCCACGCCTCGGCCTCGCCGTCGTCGTCAGCGCCCTCGGCGCCCTGCAGCAGCACCTCGGCGACATCCTTGTAGAGCGGGGACTCCTTGAAGCCGTGGACCTGCATCCAGATCCCCTGCGGTAGGTAGCGGGGGCGAAAGAGCTGGCCCGGCGCGCATTCCTGCTAGTCCCGCTCGTCGTCTGGGTGAAACCTGAAAAACACGATTGTGGCCCGTTGCTCCTGCACGAGCCCCAACTTCTTCTTCACCTTTTCCTGCACGGCCTTCAGCTCCTCCTGCACGGCCTGAGACTTCCTCCGTATTTCAGCCTGAAGAGCCAAAAGTGACGACAGCTACAAATTTGTTGACGACCCGCCCCGGATTCGAACATGAAGCGCGGGCCCCAAAGAGAAGGGGCTCCCGCCAGAGACTTCCGCACAATTCACTCACAGACAACGCTCCCGTCTGAGACTTCCTCCTAATTCAAATCTGAAGAGCCCAAAATGAACGACAGTTACAAGTTATTGGATGACCCACTCTGGATTCGAACATGGAGTGCGGGCCCCATAAGGAGGGGGTTCCCGCCTGAGACGTCCTCGCAACTCACTCACAGACGAGACTCCCGCCTGACATTTTCTCCATACTCAAACCTGAAAAGCCCAAAGGTAACGACAGTTACAAGTTTTGGATGACCCGCCCTGGACTCGAACATGAAGTGCTGGCCCCATAAGGAGGGGGCTCCTGCCTAAGACTTCCTCACAATTCACTCACAGACAAAGCTCCCGTTTGAGACCTCCTCAATATTCAAATCTGAAAAAAATGTGTTTTTCTATTCCAAAAAAAAGACACTCATAAATTTTAAAATGGCCCACCTCAAATTCGAACATGAAGTGCGGGCCCCATAGGGAAGGGGCTCCCGCCACAGACTTCCTCGCAATTCACTCACACACGAAAATCCCGCCTGAGATTGCCTCCATATTCAAGTATGAAGGGCCCAAATTGATGACAGCTACAAGTTTTCGGATGACCCACTCTGGATTCGAACATGGAGTGCGGGCCCCATAAGGAGGGGGTTCCCGCCTGAGACGTCCTCGCAATTCACTCACAGACGAGGTTCCCGCCTGACATGTTCTCCATATTCAAGCCTGAGGAACCCAAAGGTAACGACAGTTACAACTTTGTGGATGACCCGCCCTGGACTCGAACATGAAGTGCTGGCCCCATAGGGAGGGGGCTCCTGCCTAAGACTTCCTCACAATTCACTCACAGACGAGGCCCCCGCCTGAGACTTCGTCCATATTCAAGCTAGACAGTGAGTGGTGACGAAGTGATGAGTAAGTGAGTGATGATGAATGGCTGAGTGATGATGAATGGGTGAGTTATGATGGTGATGAAGCTTATGATGATGAGCGTTCGAGTGATGATGGAAGTGATGGTGATGAAGAATATGATGATGAGTGATGACGATGATGACGATGATGATGGTGAGCGATGACAAATGGTGACGATGATCGATGGTGATGATGATGATGATGAGACGGGCTGAATGCGTGAGTGAGGCGAAGAGGGGGGGGGTGAGGTTCATGCGCGGGAGGTGTCCACAGAAAACAAAACCCCACTTAGGATGTGAGGAAAAACTTTGGACATAAGCGAATGGTTGGACATTGCACATTTTCGTCGGGTTAACAGGCGAGGGGTTTGTCCAGCGTGACGTCCCTTTTTTGGTGGTCCTGCAGAGGAAGGCGCTCTCTGACCTTCGGCCTTATTCAAGCGTTCCCCCCCAGTTCACACACACCCCTCCCTTCCAGGCGTCCACGGAATGCGCGATCTTTCTGAAAGACGAACCGCTGACGACGACTAGATTTCGGACCAGAACTCGGGCCTTCAGCGGCTGCTCGTGGCGATCCGGACATCTGAAGACGCCTCTCGACGAGGCGCAGCTGATGGAAGGCACCCCGAGAATGGCAAACCTCCAGGGACCGACGAGAACGCCCGAAAACGCCCGAAGTCCCGACCCTCCCAAGGAAGAGGGGGACCGAGGATGTGTGGCAGGGGGCGCCAGCTGCATCGCCTGCCGCGCCGCGCGCGCCCGCTTGGACCGACGGGGAACGCTAGGGGGGACCAGCTCAGGGGGGGAAGCATCGAGCTCGAATCGGCGATACGTCGCCGAAAGAGCGGCGGCAGGCCCCCGATGTCGAAACCGCACGTTCCTGGTCGGGGTGGTCGCATCGGGCTCCGATTGGCGAGGAACGATGAGCGGCCAAGGGTCGATGTACATCCCCACTCTCACACACACACACGCACACACACACACACACACACACACACACACACGCACACACACACACACACACACACACACACCCACACACACACACACACACACACACACGCACACACACACACACGCACACCTGAGCCTGTCCTTCTGTTGCCCCCATCGCACTTGAGGACCACATCCCAAAAATAAGTTCGAGCACTCGGACAGGTATCGAAGCAGCGTCGAAGGAGCATCGCCTCCCAAGGCCCGACACGTGAAAACCCTCCAAGTTCGGTACTTTCCTGGTGCTCGAAACTCCTTCTGGCGATCAGGGCTAGGTTGGGACAGCATAAGCCTGTCCCCCCCAAACGTTGCCCCTGATGGACGACGCCACCCCTGCCCGACCGCCGGCGATTGGGGCGCCGCGATGCTCTGCACCTGCAGGTAGCTGCAGTGGTCCACGCCTCCCGGGGGATGCTGAGGACGAGGAGGAGGAGGAACAGGAGGAGGAGGAACAGGAGGAGGAGGAACAGGAGGAGGAGGAGGTGGTGCGTGGCCGAGGCGAGTCCCAAACTTCCTGCCGACCCGCCCTCCCCCCACGTTCCTGTCGAGATGGGCGCGTGAGAGGAAGTGTCTCCGCCTGCCTCTGGTGGGCAAGCGCGTGGCCAGACGGACAACATCAATGATCCCCACCGCTCCGATGGCCGAGAGAGGCAGGGACGGCTGGCGAGCAGCAGTACGATAAGCATGCTATAATGAGACGATAAAGGCGAACGAGCCTCCGCGGAGGCCGAGAGTGACCAGAGGATCGGAGGGGAGGAGGGAATGGAGAGACATAGACACAACCCATTGGATGCGGACGCACTCGAAACACACAATCGGAAATGGCGTCAGGAGCACTCGGGCACCCTAACACACATGAGTGGGACGGCCTCTGCATCCGCTGGCTCGTGGTCCAACACCCCAACCAGCTTCGAAGCGCGATAAGGCCCCGCTCCATCGGGGCAACATTGAGGAGCGACTGCAAGTCCGCCACATTGCCGAACTCTAACGATGAAAATAAGTGCTTCCTCACTCTGGTCCTGATCTGACATGCGAGGCCCCCTCTGACGAAAAACGCTCGGTCGAAACTCCCCTGGAACACGCCCTGCCACCTCGGACGCCGTCGCTCATCCCTGGGGGCGCCAGCACGGGAAAGGCCGAGCGCCTCGACGCCACATCTCTGCAGGGCCAGGGCATATCTTCGAGCCGCGCAAACGTGCCGAGCAACCCTGCGACGGGCACCTGCTGGAGAGGGGCGCGGAAAGGTAGGGAACCCAAGAGAGGCATGTTCCAACGTCCAGACAATGGAGGGCGGTTCCCAGAAGTCGGGGGCGAGCTTGTCTCCATCCCACCACGCGGCAGGCCCTCGCTCAACAATCGCCCGACACAACCTCGCAATCTGCACTTGCCGCGCGTTGAGGGCGAGGAGAGCCGAACGCATGAGGGAAGCAGAACAGAGAGACATGGCACTTTTTCACTGCGAACCACCCTATTCGGCGAGTTGCAGCCACTCGCCGCGGCCCATGCTGCTGCTCGGCGCTCGCCAGGGACGGGCAAGCAAATGCCGCCCGGAAACTGCGAGATGCCGCGGGGGCGGGAACAGCTGGGCCCCATGCCCCAACACAGGGAGCCCACGCTCGAGGCAGCGGGGGACATTCCTTGAAAAGGAAGCGCCAGCTGCAGCAGTGAGGGCCATGCGCTCCGCAAGCTCGGCCACAGGCGGCCCACCGTTCAAGCACGGTGCTGCTGGGCCCCAGGCGGGCGCCAAGATACGGAAAGTCGCCGACAATCTGAAACTCGCCCCAAGCCGACTCGGCTCGAGAAGAGCACCGCACGAACCGCATCAGAGGCGCAGGGATCTGACATCAGAGCTCCGAGGAGAACAGCCATGCATTTAGACACCTTCAAGATTAAATCAGCAAGCTTCGCCGCTAGACGGAAAGCCTGAGCAAGCACCGCGCACCCCCGCCACCGCCAAATCACCGCCCCCACATCACCTGCGCAAGCTCGGGTGCAACCTCGCCGTTTGCGGCCAATGTTTTGAAATATGCCGCCGAGGAAAGCATTAGAGGCAAGCGCAAACAATGACCCCGACAGGGGGCAACCCTGGAGGACTCCCGAAAACATCAAATAAATCATACACAGGGAGCGGTCTACCTCGCAACCGCATGGATTGGCAGCATAGAATCCTCCAACCGCGCGGATGAAGCCACTTGGAAGCCTGTAGGCACGCACGCACATCATCATCCACTCCTGCCGCAACGACGGGAACGCCTGCGCGTGATCGAAGGATCAGAGGGGGGGACAGGAGGCGTAGAGACGACAGCATTGAGGCTGGCAAGACGAGCTGCGCTGTCGAGGTCCACTATGTTATTGACAGCATTTCGGCCAGCAATAAAACCGCGTTGGCTAGCAGCCCCGATCTGCTGCACGGCGGGAGCGACTGCGCGATTGATAGTGGCGCCGACGATCTCGTTCGCCGCAGTCCACAGACCGCGCGGGCGGGCGTCGCGAGCGGCCCGCACAGGACCCTCAAGGGACTCCTCCTCCTCCTCCCCCTCCCCCTTCTCCTCCTCCTCCTCCTCCTCCTCCTCCTCCTCCTCCTCCTCCTCCTCTCCTCCTCCTCCTCCTCCTCCTCCTCCTCCTCCTCCTCCTCCTCCTCCCTCCTCCTCTTCCTCCTCCTCCTTCCTCCTCCTCCTCCTCCTTACCTCCTCCTCCCTCCTCCTCCTCCTCCTCCTCCTCCTCCTCCTCCTCCTCCTCCTCCTCCGAATCACCAGCGATGGCTTGGGGGGAAGACGGCAAGAGAGGCAGAGAAGGAAAGAGGCATGGGCAAACCTTGCAGAACCCAGCACAGGACATTAAATCGGATTTCAATCCCGCGTCCAGACCGCCAGGCACGGATGCGGAGCCCGTCAGGCCCAGGAGCGCTGGTTGGCGCACTCCAGACGAATTGCTCCAGGGACCGCCGAGTTGGGAGTGGGGGCGACGACAAGTCCAGACCACTCCCTCAGCCGCGACCCCCCAAGCACCGACCCCCCCACGCAGAAACGGGACTGACCTTCTCGAAGACTGGAACCAAATATCTGACGAGCGCCTCGACCGACGCAGTTTGCCCAAAACGAGCCGTCGGGCGCGCAGACTCTTCAGCTCCGCTGCAGATCCCATCCCCAGTCGGTGGGCCTGACACCGAAGCTAAAAACTTACGGCGAGCGCAAGGATTCCAAAGTTGGGTACGACGACCAGCCGCCGGCTTCCTGCCGAGGGCCCGAGCCCGCCTCCCAAGGCAATTTATTTCCGCGGCGGCTTCCTCCTAGCAGCGCTCGCGTCTCTTCGCGGCCTCCCGCTGACGGAGGCTCGCGTGGAAATTGCTAAATTTACCAGGGTCGACAAGAGCAACGAACCCGTCCTCAGAGACCACGATGTGTTCGCAGGTCCACGGATGCTCAGGCGAAGAACCCGAGCGAGACGGGCGCCCCGACGGGCGACCGCGCGAGCTGAGGACCGACTGACCATCGCACGGGACGCGAGACGACGAGGCTGAGCCTGGAGCTGGAGGTCTCTGACTGCAGCGCCAGCTCGCCGACGGCATAGAACTGCCATCTCGAGCTGCCCAGGGGGAGCAAGGATCTCAAAATTGACCTGCGCCCCATCAGCCTGGGCCATCTCAAAGAAGAGGGGTTCGGAGAAGAGGTGCAGCTGAAGAGGGCGAGGTCGCTGATCCGATCCAGCTTGCGCAGGTCGCTCGGCAATCGATGCTCACCGGTGCGCGGTCGCTCACGCCCACCGTAAACAGCTCCTCAGGCTCCCCAAAAACGCGCCATGATTGGAATCCTCGGCACAGCAGCCGCGGAGGCGAGGCAAGGAAGCAACGGTCGACCTTCGCACAGGAGCAGGACGCCAGCACGTTGGAAGATCGCCCGCGAGCTCGGTGAGCATCCTGAAGATCGAGCGCCAAGCTCCAATCCCCAGGGCGGGCCCCCCTCGCAGCGACCCTGGAGACCCCGCACTCGCGATCTCCGTCGCAGATATTAGAATCTCCTTGAAGCACGAGACCGAAAGCTAGAGGCGCGCTCCGCACCACCTCGACCTGGGACTTGATGCGATCGCGAATACGGCGGATCTGGCCCAGGCTCAAATCAAAATTGCGGACATTCCAATTCCAGAGGCGGAAGCCCGAGGAAGCGTTCAAATCTCTACCGCCAGGACCCCCCACAGACACCCACATCTCGAAGGCCGGAGACCTCGACGGGGGCCGAAGGAGCCGAAGGAGAAGAGAGGGGGATTAAAGTGGCAATGCCGCCCGCGAACGAATCTTCCACATAGTAGGCAAAACTTTGGTGCGGTAAACCCACTCGCCGGGCAGCTCCCTGCACAGCTGGAACACCGCCGTGAGTCTCCTGAGGGGCGACAACCGCGGAGGGCGACAAGGAGGGCGAGGCAGCGAGATCGCTCAGTACCTCAAGGCGGCGAGCACAAGCATCAGGGCGATAGTGACAGAGAGCCCGACAGTTCCTGGTCGTGAACGTCGCCGAAGGCGAACCAAAAAAAGCGTCACCCACTCCACTGCACCTGCACTCTGGAGAACACGCGATCCGCCACTGAGGCCAGCCGCGCGCGCTCCAGTCCGAGGTCCGCCAGCGACGCCACGTTCCAGCGGACCCTCGGTGGGTTGTTGTGGTGCACCTCCACCTTCGCAATGGGCTGCCACTGCATGAGAAGCGATCCCGCCTCTCTGTCCACGAAGGGCTCTTTCTGCAGGAAGTTAGCGAGGGCGGTCTCGAGCTGCTTGCTAGCCCGCTCCCTGGCGATGTCCTGCTTGGTCTTGTCCAGGCCCGCGAAAATCCCCACCGCTCGGTCGCCAGGGAGGACCGTCCGAAACCGACGCCAACTGCCAGACCCCTCGCCTCGCGTAGGCAGGAGTGCGCATGGCGCACGCGCGCCTCTGCCGCGAGGCGCGTCTCGCCCTCTCTGATGCCGAAGCGCAGCACGAAAATCCTCGACAGCTGAGGGCCCACGAGTCGGCATTCCCGTCCAAGCTGAGAGCCGCACGCTTCGAGCCACGGCTGCAGCGTGTCCGCCAGCCCGCTGACCGAGATGGCCTCCTTCGCGCTGATGGCGAAGACGGCGCGGTCCTTGGGCCGATCCCAGTCGGCCGACCTGGCCACAGGGATCCGCGGCTCTTCACGAGCCAAGTCGAAGACTTTCCAACCTCTTGTCCAAGAAATTATGATTGTTCTCCAACGTCGCCACCTTCTCATCTGTCGCCAACAGCTGCGCCATGATCGTGTCGAACTGGGAGGCCATTCTCTTCTCGATGCCATTGAGCAGAGGCTCGGCGCCGCTCGCGATCCAGCGGGGTAGAACAGCGTCAACTAAGGCCACCACTCCCTTGGTGAGCTCCCGATGCATTCCGCCTTGAACT